CCCCCCGGGGGAGGGTGGCGCCTGCCGCAGCTTCTGCAGCGCACGTAGCTTTTAAAATCTGGGAGGGTTTGTGGGCGTTTTTGGCTGGAATGCTGCCGGCTGCTGAAGGACACTATGGATTTCTGGACACTACACATGATTTTAGTGATGAAATAAAGGTATTTTAATATATATAGTTTTTTTTCTTCCTCCTGCTGGAGGTGGGGAAGATGATGTCAGAATTAGACATCAGATGATTGTCATGAAGACATCGGAATTAGACTTTATATGGGGGTAGGGAGAGACGGGGAGACTACAGAGGCCATAATGGTGTGTGAAGACACCCGTGGGCTGTTCTCTGGTAAGTAAATTAAGGTGCAATAGGAGAATTTTGGTTTTTTAAAAATGAATTTCCCTGCCTGCTCTCAGCCAGGCTGGGGGCGGAAAGAGAGGAGGGTGGCCCAGAGCCGCTGCTGTCCCCGGGATGCTGCTGGAGACCTCTCCTCTCCTCTGGACCCCGTCGGTGCCTGGCAGCTGGTGTGGAGCCAACCCCAAGCGCCCGTCTCAGCCGGGATGGCGGCTGCTCCGTCCCCTGTTGATTTGCTCTGGTGCTTAATTAGTTTGAAAGTCTGGCATAATGACCGCGTTTGGCCACGGCTGTTTTTAAAGCTCTTTCTCCTCCCTGTAAGCTTCTTCCCCGTGATGGAGAAGGAACCGGTGGTGGTCCCATGCCCTCTCCCGGCCCCGTCTCCTTCGGGCGCGGGAGCAGCAGGTCTCAAACCTGCTCTCAGGAGCTTCTTATTTTTTGGAGGGAACCTGAATGGTTTTCCATTCCAAATTTTCCATTCCAAATGATTCCAAATCATTTCCAAAGATTCCTTCATCGCTGCTTTGGTAACTGCCTTAGCGCCTCGAGGCGGCTCAACGGTACCCTCATCTATAGGTACCCTCATCGATAGGCGTTTGTCTTGTCTTTGGATCATGATGTTTGTTTGTGAGGTTTTTATGGGTTTTTCTGTTGTTTTCTTTCCCTTCTGTCATTTAAAAGCTGCCACCGCGTGTGCTGTGCCGTATTTACTCTCAATAAATACAACTAAGAAAATGCAGAATGGCTCCGGGTGGTTGTTTCTCCTTAAAGCGCAGCTCTCTGGTCCTCACCCGCCCCTCCTTTGGCTTACCGGGGGCTTTGAGGGGTTTGACCTTTCCTACAGCACCCCGTGCCTGAAGCGAGGTGCACCGGGCATCGTCGCCGCGTTCGCCGGGAACCGGCTGCCTCGAAGCAGCGCTGAGTCAGGCGCTGAGGCACCGACTCAGCTCTCGCGCAGGGGGGAATTTAGGCCACTTTCAGACATGTTTAATTCTTAAATAAATACTATGATTACTCCTCGGAAAGGCTGTGATTATATCTCTAAAGGAATGAAGCGGGATCAAGCTGCAGCACTTTGCCGGATTTAAAATAGGACCGGGCTGCGGTTAACCCGTTGGGTGCTGCGCCCTCAGCGGGGACACGGTCCCTGGGAGATGCTGCTGCATGTTACCCCTCACCACAATTTATTTTCTTCTGGTTACCATATTTATATTCTTTTTCCCTTGCCTTTGGAGGAAGAAGAACGGGCGCTTCTCTGGTTGGGGCTCGGTGCAGTTTGTTTGCCACCAGCCACCTCCTGAGGCAGCCATTGGCTCTGCAGGAGCGGCGTTTGACACCCTGAAACCATTTATTTGTGCTGTTTTGGGGATGGAGGGGGGTCTGCATCATGCTGATCAACCCCAGCTCTTTGTTAAGCACGCACCTTGCATCAGTCTCAGCACAGACTGGAGGGGATTCGGTTTTTGCTGTTGGAAAAGGTGATTTTTTTGGCTTTTGGAAAGCTCAGCAGTGGCCGGCCCCGACTCAGGGCTGCCGGGGTTTTGGCTTCTGCCCACACGTTCTGAAGAGGCGGTTGGAGGGGGAAATGGAGCCCTGGAAATGCTGAAAGAGACCTGTGGGGCCGAACCATTTCCCAAGGCAGCTCCACTAGATGTCATTGCAAGCTGGGGGAAAGCGGAGCGGACGGGCGGAGCCCGGGAGCCCGCCACGGGGG